GTGGTGCGTTCGGCTATGGCCTTGACCACGAAGCTCGCCAGATCGCCATGAACGGCCCACGGCCTATCGGTTGCACTAAGGCCAACTTAGGCAAGTATGTTCTCGACAATATCAAACAAATGGCTTATCAGGAAGTCGGACATCTCAGGTTGTGGATCATCTCAATTTTTTCTTATATATATATATATGTGTGTGTGTGTGTGTGTTGTGTGTGTTTGTATGTATGTATGTGTGTGTGTGTGTGTGTGTGTTTTGTTTGTGTATGTATGTATGTGTGTGTGTGTAATACTAATATTCTACCTCTAACTCATTTATACGGTAGTAAATCCGCTAACTATCTTGTTTGATAAATAGCTTATTTGGTTAGTATCTCAGAATAATTGTGAAAAAAATCTCAATATAGAGTGTTTGTATAATATTATATGCCAATATTAAATTTCTATAATGGCACCACAATATCCGCTATCACCTAAAATATGTTAATGCAATCCTCTATCAGCTAATCAGCTAATAGTCAGCAAGTTGTATATATATAATTTGAAAATATATAATAGTCAATTATTGCATGTGTATATATAATATCTATATATCTAAATATCTACTATTGTGCGTAGGGCGATACAAGGAACACTACAGAATAATACCGGCAAACCTGGATTCCCAAGACCACAACTCGATCTGAGTAGCAGCGTATTTGCAAATATTATGGACAATGCGTTCGGGGAGACACTCGACCCCCCATTCAACCCTTACCAGAACGACATAAACTATCTTATCGCGTCGTATGCCATCCCATACGTCGGACTAACCGGATACGTTGGGGCATTGCCTTGCTTGTTGAACCCCACTTATAGAAAGGTGACACTGCAACATTCTAAACCAAACTACGGTCGATATGATTATAAGAAATAAATTAACAACACTAATATAACGTTGTGTGTGTTTTAAAATAATTCAGCTGGTCGGGGGTCTTTTGGCGGTGGAATCAGGACAGGATGCAGTGATACGGGAAATGTTGTACGAAAGAGCCGATCAACTTGTAAAACCGTACAGATTCAAGGTGTCGGAATTTACAAGCAAGATCTCGAGCCTGAGGGACAATCTCGGAGGGCAGGGGGTGAAAGACGAGGGCATAGTAGTTGATAAGTCGCAAGGCGCCGAGGGCAAAATTGCAGGGAATGTGCTTACTGGAAACGAGAATTCAGTGGCATACGACCGGACTCCAGAGGAGATTTTGGCCATCGTGTATGGGTCGGGAGACGTGCATAAGCCGGGTGGGTTCTTGCCCAATGGAGGTGGTGGGGCGATTGCCGAATCCTACCTCCGCAAACATTGAAGTCATCAAAATATATAAAATCAATTGTTGATGCATGAAATCAAATGTAGGCTATGATATAATAATGTGTAGTAATAAGGC